ACGAGAACAACGAGAACAACGAGAACAACGAGAACAACGAGAACAACGAGAACAACGAGAACAACGAGAACAACGAGGACGACGAGGCCAACGAGGACGACGAGGCCAACGAGGACGACAAAAACTTCTATCATCACGAAAATAATGGGCATATGGTGTCGAACCCCGCCGAGATCGAAAGGCAGAAAAGGCAACTCGAGAACAAAACTAGCATTATTGAATCACTTGGGCGGAAGCTACGAGGTTTCAAATTCGACCGCCAGCGCAGGAAGAATACGCCTCAGCAGCCCTCATCGACGCCGTCTGGCGCGCACCAGCGCGGCGACAGGTTCAAGGGCACACCTTCCACTGCGGCCATTTACCCCGTCTTTGGCTTGCATCTGTCTCATCTCTACGAGCGCGACGGCTTGGCCGTGCCCACCGTCGTCGAGGAGTGTATCCTTACTGTCACTATCCGTGGCCCCGACGTAGAGGGTATCTACCGCCAGCCGGGCTCCACGGCGGATATCCAGAAGCTACGTAATATGTATAACCAGAGGAAGCAGACCCCGGCTTTTCTCTTCCAGGAGCTAGATGATATCTTTCAGGACATTCATAGCGCCGCGGGCCTATTGAAGCAGTTCTTCAGCGACCCGCCCGACCCCTTGTTCACCTCGGAGAACCACGACAGTCTCCTAGCGGCTGCTCAGCACGACAGCGAGACGCAGCGCAGGGATTCTATCCACGCTATTATTAATTCGCTACCAGACCCTAAATACGCCACACTTCGCGCCCTATGTCTGCACCTATCACGCGTGGTCGAGAACGCGCACATTAACCACATGAGCTCGCATCACCTCGCCGTTATCTTTGGCCCGACCCTCATGGGATCCAATCTCGCCAAGACCATTCGGGACGCTGGTTGCCAGGTCCAGGTGGTAGACACGATACTGCGGAACACGTACTCCATTTTCGAAGAGGATTAAGTGTGGGATCTTTTGTTGTCAGTAGCCTGCGCTGTCTAAGTATGTTTCCTCTTTCCTATCTAGACGGTCGGTTGCGTCGCGAAACGAAACGGAATAAAAGCTATGCCTGTAACAAAGTCTCGTATTCTTGATGTTTGCACGTATTCGAGTCGTTTACGGTGGGATATTACCGGCCTAATCAGAAATTGTGACTCCGCCAGAGTACGGTTTTACGGGTCTCGGTCGCTGCTTTGCTGATAGTCTATTTCATTGTCGATCTCGGCCAGGTCCTCCAGGTAATACAGACTCCCTTTGGTTCCTGGCCGACGCCTCACAATTGTTCCTATTTGGCTCCTATCGCGGCGCACGATGGCCGCGTGGAAGCTCGCCCTGGTAGGCTACGTTGGGGCGGATGATGGCTTCCAGACTGCTGCTCATCTTGTCGACCAGCCTCGACCCGGGACTGAGACGCGGCAGCCGGTCCAGCCATGGGCGGGCTTGGACTATTAGCCATGCTCGACGCCTAGCCGAAAGGTAATACAAGGTCGCGCAGAATTCCGATTCACGAGGCTGGTGCGTTTAGACATCTTTGGGCGAGCAGGCTCACACAGGATCGAGGAGACGGGCGGGGCCCGGGGGTAGAGATGGCGGAAGAAGTCGTTGATGAGCTGCAGCTGGTCATTCATGGGCGGCAGAGGCAGCCACCGGCCCGCCTTGGTACTTCGCCAGGACTCCTCGGTGGGGACTCCTCGGTGGATACAACGGCCTTGTCCGGACTCCGGACTTCTACAGACTCTCCGGAGTCCGGAACAAAGCCGGCTGGCGATGCCCGGACATGGCGCGAGACGAGCTACATGTTGGTCTGGGGCCAATGTCTCATGCACCCCTGCCCGGCTACGATTACAATTTACAAATGTCCCAGCGATTGAATGCAAGGCGCATCCATTCAGCGACCTAGGCTAATCCAGCTTCTGGGATGATTGGTCATCCTGATGCACGTCCAACATTGATTGTTAAGCATCCGTCGAGTCGGTTGAACAATGGCCCGGTGCAAGAAGTCATGATGTAGATGAAAAGACAGTACATAGATCGACTAGGAAGTACTTAAGTTCAGTATCCGGTAAAGCGAGAGCTATTGGTAGCACGATCATTCGCAATTATCAAGCCATGGCTACTCTCAATATTTCGTACTTTACGGTGAGTTCTCACGTGTCTATCATTCCTCGGTAGTCTTTATATCTCCTCGCAAAAGCGGTGCCAAGGTCTAGACTAATACTTACTTTTACCTCTTTCTAGGTTCCGGTGGCTTTATGCATAGCATTAGGTGTCCGCACATACCCTATAATGTCTAAACCAGGCCTAAAGTTACTGGATCGCAATAAGCCGAGGGACTTTGTTGAAGTGCTAAAAAAAGCCGATCTCGACGAAAATGTAAGACAGAAAGACCATGTTAATTGTAATATTAGGTTAAATTACTAATTATATGAGGACTAGGTTCGGGGTCGCTTGTTACGCGCTGAAGGATGCGCAGCAAACTGGTTCGAGGCGCTTCCGGTGTTCGCAGCCGCTGTGACGGCAGGCAATTCGGCCGGTGTGTCTCCCCTAATTATGAATTGTCTTTCTATCGGATGGTTGGTCAGCCGTCTGCTATATACATATGTATATGTTATTTGGCAAGCCAACGAGGTATTGGGTCCGAACGAAGCCCCAACTCGTTTCAAAGTTTGGGCTGTCGGTGCGACGCTGGCCATGTCTATGTTTATCCTCGCGGGACGTCAGGCCTAAGGTAGTTCCATACTCTTGTGCAAAAGGTGTTTATTCAAGTACACCAAAATTCAAACAGATTCTATGCAAGAGTCGTCTCCGGTTAGGATTAGCCTCAGTCTTCTCTGTTGTAGTGCGGAGTAGTGGTGGTGGGAAAGCTGCACATGGCTAGCGCCAGTCATTGCCGGAGATACATCCCCAAGCACTTGGCCTTGCGCTCGCGGCATTGAACGCAAGCCTTGGGGCCAGTACGTTTGCTTGCGCATGAGTAATTGATAATTTCAGATAGAGTCAAAAGCAAAAAGAACATACAACAGCCGGTATTCGCTGGTCGTCACCGACCTAACTACTAATCAGCCCCCTACCTCGCTAGGATATCGAGATCCCCTGGGAAATTCGCAGCGAGAATAATAGAGTGCTATATCCGTACCTGCTGCGGACCAGGCATCGACCTAGAAATAACTACCCTATTCTTATCATTAATGCGTCTTACTCACTCCAAGCGAAGGTCACACTATCAGATTACTTATCTAGTGTAATTTTCGTTTCTTATCAAAGGCTCCACGGTAAGCGTTCTCCATGGCCCGGTGCCCACGCAATAGGGATAATAGCGAGCCAAGTCCGTCAACGACCCGCTATCTGTTGTGGGCTAAGCCCTGTTGGAACAACTTAGTAGCTTAGATTGAGTCTATCTAACGATAAGGTAGGAAAAGAGAAAGAGGAGGAAATTTACGGTCCCCCTTTCCTATAAAGACCCTACAAGGTCTGTGCGTCCTCGTGGGCACGCGTTACGTGCCTGGGTGAACTAGGCCGGGTCTTATACCTAGCCGCTAGTAACTAGTAGAACCGTAATATTACCCCCCCACTAACTCTAGGCTAGCCTACGGTGGCCCGTCGGGATAGCTACGGGGTGCCTTACCGCTAGGAGTATATCCTAGGTTTTCGTATATAATAATTCGCACTCCAGGTAGATCCGCGGTTTCTCGTAGTACCCCGCGTGGTGTCATAAGGCTAGATTGTGTTGTATTGATTGATGTTCTGATCGAGTGTCCCACAAAATCCCTCAAGCTATAAGCCCCTTATAAAATCCTTTATAGATCCACACCACACTAGCCACACATTATCCACACGCTATCTAACACACCCCCTTAGGAAGGGCCGGTAGGGCTCTTCCTGCCCTAAACTTTTAAGGCTATCGCGAGCCCCTTTTCCTTCCTTCTAACGCTGATTTATAGTGTTATAGCCGACTCGTATCTCTATTTCTGCTGGTTCAGTCCTAGCAGCGGACTTGATTAGATCTTTTAGCTCGTCTATTCGACGTTCGATAGCTAGTTGTTGTGGGCTAAGCCCTGTTGGAATAACTTGGTAGCTTAGATTGAGTCTATCTAACGATAAGGTAGGAAAAGAGAAAGAGGAGGGAATTTACGGTCCCCCTTTCTTATAAAGACCCTGCGAGGTCTGTGCGTCCTCGTGGGCACGCGTCACGTGCCTGGGTGAACTAGGCCGGGTCTTATACCCAGCCACTAGCAACTAGTAGAACCGTAATATTACCCCCCTACTAACTCTAGGCCAGCCTACGGTGGCCCGTCGGGATGGCTGCGGGGTGCCTTACCGCTAGGAGTATACCCTGGGTTTTCGTATATAATAATTCGCACTCCGGGTGGATCCGCGGTTTCTCGTAGTACCCCGCGCGGTATAGTTACGTCCTATGTGTGCACCCGTCAGCCTCGCGAAATAAGGCTAAGGTGAAGGTAATATAAGCTAACCTTAGATAAATCTAAGGGCGGCTATAATAATATCGGCCGTGGCCTTCTTTGCTTATTATTTTTTCTCTCCTTTAGCCTTATTTCTCGATACCGGTATATGCCTTTAATAGCCCGCGGTAGCCCCGCGATACCTCTACGACCTCCTTACTAACCCTATGCGTAGCGCGTTATAGTTAATTAGCCCGCCGGCCCCCGTGAGTTAATCCTATACGCGCGTAGTCCTTGCGTGCCGCCTGCGGCCACTCTGAGAGCCTTACTGACGTCGTAGAACGATCAAATCTTTATCGCCTCTGCCGCCCCTGCCGCTGCCCCTAGTAAGGACTCCGAAGCTAGAGCGACGACGTATAGCTAACGTATACACGTAGTGGCCTCCGGTAAGAAAGGCGCCGCCAAGGGACCTCGTAGCTCTAAGCGCCCCCGCGCCGTATGTTATAACACCCTAGGGTACGAGTCTCTAGCGAGGACCGTGCTAACCCGCTAGAATAGTCCTCCTAGTCCCCCCCCCCCTCGCCGCCGCTAGGCAAGAAGCTGGCGCCCCTAGGCCGCTACTATAAGCTCCCGTATATACGATTACGTAGTAAATACGAGGACTCTGCTTATACGCTCTAGATACGCCCGCTGCCTCCGCGCTTTTATAGGCGACCCCTCCGCCGCGCCCTGCCGTAGCGTTAAGAGTAAGTTATCCTACGACCTCCGTGCGGCCCGCTAGCTAACTCGCGTAGATTCCGGTAGTAGGAAGTGCTACTATTATACTAATGTTAAGCACGAGTATATCCTTATAAGTTTTCTATTTCTTAAAAAATCTAGACGCCGCCCCCTTATATTACTAACGCCTGCGTTCCGTAGCTCGCTCTTGAGGCTATCCCTACCGCCCTAGAGTTCCTTGCCGTTACTGCTACCGCTAAAGCCGCGGGCGTTATTCCGGGCGATAGGTCCGACGTAAGTCCGCTACGTACCCGTAAAGAGAACGTATACTAACGGGTTTAGAACTACATAAAAAGTCTACCGCCGGCGAGCGTGCGCTGCGCGCGTTACGCTAGTATCCTCGGGCCGCCCCCGACGCTACCTATAGCTATACCGGCCTCGAGGCTATAGTGCGCTCGCTCTGCGAGTATTTTATGAGTTCGCTACGGCCCCCCTGCGAGTTATCGACTAACTTCCTAGAACCTTCTTGTCGTCGAGGGTAGTAGCCCTCTTAATAAGGAGCCCGAGACTAAAGAGGAGGAAGCGGCCTTTGTGGCCTAGATACGGTGTTATTATAGTTTAGGTGTGGAGGACCCCTCGGGGTTGATTTTTATTTTTTAATTTTTTAAGAAAAGTTCTAGTGTACGGTCTCCCTACGGTGGCCCGGCTAATCGGCTACGGCCGTAAGGCCTTGAATAACTTCCTCCCCCCCCCTTGTCTATAAGTTGAGTATAAATATCGTAAAATTGGTCGTGTCTGGGGCGGAAAGCTTACGTATCTATTACGACCTTACTATATTCTAGCTAG